TGTATATACATGCATGTTCACAACTGCTCACAAACAGGTGTTCTGATCCGGGGGGTTCTGACTGGTCACTGAGTGTGTTTATACTGTATGTATACTGACAATATTTATGAATGTAGGCATGTATGTATGTATATCTTTATATATGTATGGGTATGTGTATATTTTTATATATGCCCTCCATGTATTTATCCATTTATTTTTCAGGTGAGCGGACAGATGTTGGGTGTGTGGTCCTGTGTTTTGTTGGTGTATGTTTAATATAGTTCTAATCACTATTTCACTCTTTCTATCTTTCTAATTACTTCTCTCTGTGTTTTTCTCTCTGTTTCTGTTTTCTCTTCACTTAAAAAAGTCACTGATGATGAAGAAATAAATAAACTAAATAAACTAATATTTGGTTTTGTTTACTACTGAAGTGACACAAGAGGAAAAACATATAGTATTTATCTACAGTATATCAGGCTGTCTTGGTATACCTATAATATTTTTTTTTACTTTTTGTAATATTTTTAGGTTATTTTTGTGCTTTCAGAGGATGTCTTGATGACCCTTTATTTTATTTTTAAATGTTATTTTTTCAGGGACTACAGGGACGTGGAGGCAGCCTTAAATGCGATGAAGAACGTGGCCAGGCTGATCAATGAGAGAAAACGGCGCCTTGAGAACATCAATAAGATCGCCCAGTGGCAGAGTTCCATAGAGGACTGGGAGGTTTGAAATGCTTTGTTCTCCTTAATTCTCTCTTTATACCACAAAATGTAAACAAGCAAGTTAACAGCTGTTTGATTTGTTCTTCCCAGGGTGAAGATGTTCTAGTMAGAAGTTCTGAACTCATCTTTTCAGGGGAGCTCACCAAGCTGTCCCAGCCTCAGACTAAGAGTCAGCAGAGAATGTTTTTTCTCTTTGACCATCAGATGGTGTTTTGCAAAAAGGTATTCAGTCAGTTACACACAATATACGATAAGGTAGTTTGACAGTGATAATGCATTAGATTTCCACACGAATTTAACTAATATTGCCTCATTTTATTCTGTTTATAATTCTATGGAAATGTGTCTTTTTCTGATGTTTCTTGTGACTTATATGATTGTTCTTGATTTGTTTTGTGCCGCCTTCTTAACCAGGACTCCCTGGAAGAAGAGATAATTTATCTCAATGGGAGCTTCCTGGTAAAAAATAAAGGATAAATAAATAGTGTACCATGACCTTTTTGGGTTTTTGAAACTTTTATACTTTTTAAAATATTTAACTTCATTTAAAGCAAAATTTCTTCCAAACATTGTTTTATTTAAATCTGCTGTAAGGAAGTAGCTGCTGTTGTTCACATGATCTACTTTTAGCTATTGTTTTTTCTATTTCTAGCTTAGCCACAATTTAGCTAATTTACGAGTATAGCTATCAATCCCATTTTAACTACAGTTTTTCTCATTTTAGCTACTGTTTTGCTTATTTTAGCTTTAGCTTCAGTTTTGATAATTGTATTGGGCCTCATGCAAGAACCGTTCGTACGCACAGATTTGTTCTTAAATTGTGCGTACGAGTGATTTAGGAGAATTTGTGGCATTCACCAATGT